ATAAAATGATCTTAAAAAAACAAAACTAAGACCAATGGTTAAAAAATCCAGAGATACGAATGCTGGGCTGCCCTAGTGGCTGCTTATTGGTATGGTAACCCAAGCTGTATTTTGCAAAGAAAGGAAAACATGTGTAAGGATCCTGAACTCGCACTTCTTAAGGATTTCTCCTAAAAATCACTGCTGAGAATAATTTCTCCTCATCCCCTTGAAACTTCCATTGAACCTTTCCCATTTCTCCTCCTTGAGGTCAATTACTTGCAAATATGTCCACGAAACAATGTCCTATCTTATAAAGGACTTGTTGACCTATTGTTTGAATTTTCCATGAACACAGTTGAAGAGATGAAAAAGAGAAAAATTTTAAAAGATGTTGCTATTGACCTACTTGTTCCCAAAGGGGCAGCAAAATATGCAACACTTCCCTTGATAAGAAGCAAATCTATTCAAAGTCACCTGGAGGACCTGCGGGGTGTCTAGCCCTGAGGGAGGTATAGTTGGTAAGCTGTTTAAGACACACTCCTTGCCCTCTAGGAGCTTGTTATAGTCAAACTTCTTTGCTGCCATCAAGTTGGTCCTCAGCCACCCCATAGGACGAGGTAGAAATGCTCTTGTGAGTGTTTGAGGCCGTGGCTGCTCATATAGCTGCACATCGTTCTCCCATGGAGCAGCTTGTGGATTCGAACTGCTGACCTTGTGGCTAGCAGCCCAACACACAACTCACTACGTCACCAGGCCTCCTTGCTACAGCCAAGGGGTGGTAAACCCCTCAGGCGTGAGTCTAAGGAGGGAACCCTGAACCCACTAGGTCTGCAGTGAAAGCAGAGCTATGGATAAGGGGGTTGTAACCACAGAACCAGGAAATGGGCAATCAATAAAAAATACCCCAGCCTCTCTTTCCTCCCACCCTCAGCTCCAAAGCACAGCAGAGGCCCGTAGAAAACATCGTGTGCATGTGAGAGTAAACGAGTCCGTGGTTCGGTCCTTCGTGGACAGTTGGCTGTGGCCAGGTGAAGAGCCCTAGCCTCCTCAGAGTCCCCAGAGAAGTGACCGATCAGAGAGCGTGCTGTTCTGACGCGGAGAAAACAGAAGTTGGGGGAATTGAGACATGTCATCGACAAATTAGGAGATGACACCCCTGCTGAGAAACAAAGTGTGGAGTTTCAGCTCTGGAAAGAACTGGCCTAGCCCAAGGGGGAAATGCAGCAGAGATTAGAAAGAAATCTTTGAAATTGTGGGCAAGCAGCCAGAGGGTGCCATGTCTGATGGGCTAGACTCACAGGGGACACAACCTGGCTTGTTTGGCGTAGGTATGTGAAAGAGAAGGGGCATGCTTCGGGACACAGAGACAGGGAGCAGACGGGGGCAAGGGTGAGCAGTGCAGGCGTGCACACAGAGAACAACCAGGATGAGGCTCTTCTCCACCTTTCTTTCCATTCTTGTTTTCAAAAAAAAATAAAAAAGCTCTAGCCCTAGTAGAGCCTAAAGCAAACTGGATCACTTTGAGAAGAATGGGAATCCTGGAACGCTGTATTGTGCCCTCGAAGAATTTGTACACAAATCAAAAGGCAGTTGTACAAACAGAAAAAAAGGAGAGGCTGAATGGTTTCAGATCAGGAAAGGTGTGCATCAAGGTTATATCTTTTCACCACATTTATTCAGTCTGGATCCTAAGCAGATAATCTGAGAACGTGGATTATGTGAAGAAAGATTGGAGGAAGGCTTGTGATAGGCAACTACCTGTGATATGCAGGTGACACAACCTTGCTTGCTGAAAATGAGGAGGACTTGAAGCCGGAGCTGATGAAGTTCAAGGCCTTCAGTGTGGAGTACAGCTCCATTACAACACAACATAAAGAAAACCAGAAATCATGGCAAACGTAGAGAAGGTTGAACTTGTGGAGAATTTCATGGTACTTGGGTCCATAGTGAATGCCCATGGAAGCACTCATCAAGAAATCGAATGCCACACAGCAGTGGGCACGTCGGCTACACCAAACCTCCGCCAAGTATTGATGAGCAAAGCTGTCTCTTTGAGGGCTGGGGTGAGACTGACTCAAGCCATAGTGTTTTCGATCACGTCACACTCTTGTGACAGGTAGACAGTGAATACGGAAGAAACCACAGGAGATGCGTTGTTGGCAAAGACTGCTGAAAGTACCGTGGGCTTCCAGAAGAACAAAGGAGTCTGTCCTGGAAGAAGTCCGTCCAGAATGTTCCTCAGAAGCGAGGATGGCGAGCCTTTGTCTCAGACACTGGGACATGTTGTCAAGGGGGTGACGCCAGGCCCTTGGTAAAGTTGAAGTTCATTGACTGTCAAGACTGTGGATGGACACAATGGCCACAAACGGAGCTCAAACATGACAACGCTGATGAGGATGGTGCAGGAGCAGGCGCTGTCTCCTTCTACTGTACACGGGTCCCGGTGGGCTGGAATGCACTCGATGGCACCTGCCAACAACCAGAGCCCTGGTAGAATAAAGATCAGGCCTAAAGGATTTCAAACATCTATGTGTATATACATACATACACATCTATATGTGTATATTTAAATCTGAGAGAGAGATGTGAACACTTTGTAAGGCTGTTTCGGAACATCATGGAGGCAGGTAGGTTGATGGTGATACAGATAGAGTAAGGTAAGCTGTGTAGTGATCACTGTTGAATCTGATTGATGAGTATAAGGGAGAAGAGATAGGGTTGTCCTCAGATGCTAACTTTGATACATGGTTTAAGATATAGAAATTAATAAACAGTTAATGCTAAAGTTATTCTATTAACTTCAGAATGTCCAAAGTC